TTTGGTAGCTTGTTTCTAGTAGGGCTTCCCTTGTCTTTTAGGTTCTGGATTATGCTGAGAAGTAAAAACTTCAAGTGTTTTATCTGTACAAAACAAATTTGAGATAGAAAGCAGTAACTGAGACAATAGAGAATAAAAATAAGTAAAAAGAGAGAGGGCCATAAGCATTTGGGTATCCTGTGTATTACTAATTCATGGAAGGAACTAAAATTTTAATTTATTTAAAGTCAATGGTGTTGGTAATTGTAAAAGAAACCTGTGAAAACCTTAACAACAGTGGAAGTTTGGTGGCATCCTTTTGAAGATATAGAACTAAGCAGGGATTTATTTTAGATTGTTTTTGAGAATATAAAAGGAATACAGGCAAAACAGTGAGATAAATTTCACTAGTTTGTTAGATGTTAGGTTTTGTAATGTTGAGACTGTCTATCACAAGCCTGGAGGATTGCAGTGTGCACTGGTTAGAAGATCCAGCTTTGGACTCAGTCATATCTGGGTAGATCTGGCTCTCCTACTTAAGCACTAGTTGTTTAGTGTTGGCCGGCAGTCCCATCTGGGGAGGTCTCACTGCTCTTTAAGTAAGACTTCAACCCTGGAGAAGGTTCTTGACCTTGATTGAGAAAGAATTTTTGAGCAGGTGGAGCAGGTACAAGCAAAGGGTAGTTTATTAAAGTGAAAGTACACGTTCAAGGAGGGAGTCTAGGCATGCTCTGGAGGGGAGTAACGCTGGGGCGTCTCTTCTTAAATTCTTATAAAAGGGTTAGCTCACTGTTGGGCAGGGGTTCAGTGGAATATGCATCAGGGTAGGGGGGTTTTCTCGGAATGGGTAGGCTTGGGGCAATCTTTTTGCCCTGATACTCTCGGCCTGGGAACTGTCAGGTCACCAAGGGGTGTGATTTTTGACATATTAGTGAGTGTATCATGAACTTTGAAGTAACTGGGTTACCTTTTTTACCCATCTAGAACCTAGCTGGTTTGCTTTTGCTTAATCTGTTTTACTAACTGGCCTCAGGACCTGGCCACGAGCTACTAATATGTGGTTTCTTGACTCTCCCAGGGCCTGGCTCTCTTCCTGAACTGTACTGCCTTTATCACTAGGACAAATTAAAAAAATCTAAGTCCCATTTTCCTCATCTACAAAATGGGGATAAAAATAGTATGTAATCATAAGGCTTGGGAAAATTAACTGAAGAAATTCAGATAAAGTGCTTAGTACACAGTTTCTGGATTTTTTTAAGGTCCCAACAAATGGCAGTTATTATTACCATTGTTAGAAATTCCTTTGATTTTTCTGACTACTAATACTTGAATTAAATTTAGAAAGTTTGACTTTTGTCATCTATATTAATATTTGAGGATTTAAAATGTAATATACATGTTACTTTCATTTGTAAATGCACCTAATGCAAATACTGCTTTTTGACTGAACAGATGCTTCAGTAGTGTACTTTTTTCATGGTGAGCATCAAAATCTTTGCCTATATGTATATATATATACAATTGGACTCCAGAATCTCAAGTGATATAATTTTGCATCTAGTGTGTACGTGACTTAAAGTGCCCTGGTTTTATTAATAGCATTTGGCTTGTCTTTAAATTTGGTCTGTGAAGCTATTATCTCTCTCTGATGTTAACTAAGGCCAACCTTTAGTGGAAACTATTTTCTATTTCTATTGAGATATAGTGAAGACAGATGGCGACACAAAATTGAAGAAACATCCTTACAAGAGTCTCTGTTGTATAAATGATGGAAGTGCAGAGTATGAAAGATAATGTATCAATTAACATAGATGGGACACCTGATCCAATGTTGAGTCAATCAATAACAGTTTTTAATTTGGTAAAATTAACTAGAGTGTTTAAAATATTTGTCCTCTCCATAAGTTGTCATTTAGTGATGATAGTTTTAATATAATAGATTCATTTTGATATCTTGAGCATTTGATCTTGTGCATTTACTTGGTGAGAATAGATTATGAACTGTTTTGTATTTATGAACTAATTGTTTAAAAAATATAATAATGTAAACTATTTGCATACAAACAAAGTATTTTGACTTCTAGTTTTCTTAATATTGAAATATGGTAAACTCTTGATGGAAAAACAAATTTAGAACAAATTTTATTTTTTAAGAATGCATACATTTTCCTCTCTCTCTTCTCTCACCACCACATTCTCTTTCTCTCAGATCATTTTCATTTGGAAATGGTTTTGGTGAATTTAGTTTCAAATTACAGGTTTCTAGAACATTCAAAATTTGAGGGGCTAGATGCTTTTTCACTAAATTAACTTTATTCTGCCTTATCTTAGTCCTGATATGATTGTTGATTTGCTTTCTGGATAGGCATTTTAAACAGTCTCATTAATTCATACATTCAGTCTGTTTTCTCTAAGCATTTATTGATTGTACTGCATGTACAAAACAATGTGCTAGCCTGGAAAGGGTTGAGTAGTATAATATCCTATTTCTGTGCTCAAAGAGTTTGTCTTTTATCAAAGGAGGTGATTCATACACTCAGATAATATAATAAAAGTCCAAATAAGTTTTTTACAAATCAAAATGAAACATTAGAGAATGGCAGGTAATTTTCTGTGGGGAATTCAACTGAATCTTATCAGATGGTGATGCCAGTTTTATCACTAAACTTCTTGCCTTTTAATAAGTGTGTTACCTGAGTCAATTATCCATCCAATGATATTTCTATAAAACTCACCTTACTACAATAATTAAGTACAAATGTTAAACTAATATAATTATATTCTTATATACAAATGTATATTATTCAGTTTATTGCAAGATATAAACAACCTTTAGCTATTCTTAATTTCTGCTTCATGTAATTTGACTTATTTAGTCTCAGACTTGAACAAAACATAAATTTCTAAATTATCCTGAACCTTTTCTTTAAAATCAAAATACCTTACCAGGGTTAAATAGGGTCTGGCTTCAGGGATGTAGATTGTCAGTAGTCGTTGAAGGTATTTATTCTCCAGTCATAAGGGGAGGTCTGTAAGAATTGATCATTTGATATTACTATTAGAACTATCACTTTAAAAATGTTTTGATGGATTATATCAAATTAAATGTACACACATTTGTCTTAAATATTTTGAGATCTGATTTAATTGTGGTCAGTATCTGTAGGAGAGGAAAACTAACATAATTTCAGAAGTTCTCACAGGTCATTCTGGGTTGCGTATTCTTTGACATGGCCTGTAGAAATCTCTTTGTAAGTTCTTGATTTACCTCGTTCTAAGGAATTTTTTTGTAATGGTTTTGATTTCCAATAAATTCTGTCTTTACAATTCATAATTTTTCTTGATGCTTGAAACATTTTTTTCAGTAATGTTGATAGAGGTGTGCCTTAAATAACTAGTAAAGAGATGGTAAACTGAAAAATGTACTTAGTCTCCTTAATGGTATCTGTTTTAAAGCAAATTCCTTCAGAATTGCTGGCAGGTAAAACAGATTTGGAGACTTTGTGTTATCCTTTGGCCTTCCATTTTCCTGGTCACCGACCTGTTTTAGTTTATTTCATTTCAGCTAAAGTGATAATACCTTTTTGTTAGTTGGAAACTTTTTATCTCTATATGCCTTTAAGCAGAACTTTTCTGTTCCTTCAGAGTCTTATTATCTAAATTATGTTAAAATATTTGAAGTTGTTAGTGATCTGAGATTCCTCCCCTCCAAGAGGAAACATAAACCTTTGACAATGTGAATTATTAATTTTTATCTCAATCCTTAATTGAACACTGATTCTCACTCCTAAGAGAAATGAGTGTTGATTACAGGAGGTAAAATAGCAGGCCAATAGGAGGTATTTGGGTGCTGAAAGATCTTTGGGTGACTATAGAGGCTCTTTGGACATTTCTGAGTTTGAATAGACTTCATCTGAAGTTGGTCAGGCATTAAATTTTACTATATTTGTGTCCTACTAACCACGAATGCCTCTGTTGTTTCATGAAAGTGGATTCATTGGAAAATGGTCTTAAAATGTAGAGATGATGCTCCCTTTCAGAGATGCATATTCAGCAAGAAAAATTCCATGACTGACCCAGCTAATTTTTAGAGTCTGACAATTTATATTTCCACTATTATGAAAGCACGGAAAGTATTTCTTTTTCCTGCTCTAGTCCTTCTTTCCTGTTCTAGTTATGAGCAGGAGATGCTAGAAACTGCTGTACATCATCTATCTTCAACTTTCATCAAAAAAGGAATGTTGTTCAAAGATCATCTGCAACTTGTCTGACTGATAATGTAGTGCAGAGCAGTTCTAAAAATAAAGACGGTATTGTTGTGTCCATTAGGAGCAGCTTATTTCATCATTGTTGTTTTTCACTTGTAGCCTTGTGCCTTGTATGGTAGTCCCTGTTTCTCAAAACAAGCTAAGAAGAACTCTTCTGTTTCTGTGCTCTGGGAATGCTGGAGAACATAGTGTGTTTTTGAGAATAATATTTGGCTCACACAAGGAGCTGTGTTGTGCAAGTATAACGTTTGATGCATGTAAGGAAGATAAGCATTCTTGGGAATTGAGGCTGAGAAATCAAGTAGAAAAGCCAGTCAAATAAGAAGTGTTTATTTATTGATATTATATGAACTTCTTAATAGAAAACATATTAAATTGGCATAATTAAACTGGAGGTCTGATGTGCTGTCTTGTTTTTGCTTGATGGGGAAAGTCAGCATTAACTATCAGGAAATTTTAATTATCTTGTTGTATCCAAGACTACCAGACTTTGAGACAACAACCACTTTTCTGTGCTTATTTGTATTTACTCTAATCAAATAAGGATTTCTACAGAATACAATCTTAGAATATATAGTGAAAGACCACACAGAAATTTCCTAAGAGCTTGGTATTTGAATATGTGATAGTTAAAAGATTTTCTCTCTCATCTATTAAAGTTAAGGACAGGACCTCAAGATTATTAATAAACTATAATTCTCTTTACATGTTAACACTTAGTTCTATATCTTAGTTTTCTTTTTTCTTTTTTAGATACTAGCTCGTTCATGCACTGAAATCCTGGAATTGTCACCCTCAAGTGTCTGTGTGGGGGGTAAGTGGTTAGAATTTAAAAATAACATCTAAGAACTTATATATTTTTCCTAGTTAAAATATATGTTTGAAACTCATGTTGGAAAGAGAATTTCAAATTCAACTTTTTTTGGCATCTTTTTCTGTAAGAATTTTTAAATAATTCCTTGAAATATTTCTATTTTAAATTCAAATTTTTAAGATTGGAGTGTTATTTTAAATAATGAACATATTGTGTGACAGGCTTTTAGAATCTTCTGTATATTTAGTTCATGTTTGAGACCTTTCTTATGGCAAGTAAAATAAAACATGAAATTTTTTCTTTTATATGATTGTTTAAACAGCCATTATCTGTAGACGCTGAGCTCCATGCTTTAATGGCCTGGCCAAAATACAGTGTCTGCCAGCTCAGAGCACATAAGGAAGTGATTTATGGGTGGATGGCTTGGGAGAAGCAGGTGGCTTCATCAGCTGGTGCTAAGAACAGACTCAGGTTTTAGTACTTCCAAGCCATCCTTAACCAAAGAGTATAATTCTCTCTGGCCTATTCTATTTCTTCTTCAAGTCTGACATGGAGTTCATTTTAACCTGTCTTAGAAAAGGAAAAATATTGGGTCTTGTAGGGGAGGAAATGTTCTGTGCTGTTCACCACAGAGCCTCCCAACTGCTGGACGTGGTATCAAGCTCTTCATCCTTTAGACTCCCTAGTTAATGACTATTGAAATGTTTAAGAGGAATAGTATATTCAAACACCTCAAAGCATGGGGTCCTTTACATTTATAATTTTACTTTGTCCTTGTAACAACACTATTTGACAGTTTTATAATTCCTGATTCACAGGAAGAAACTGAGGCAGAGAGAGGTTCGGTACTTGATATTATTTATTGTCCTGTTAGACTCCTGTCTGTCTGACTCTAAAGCCATGCTCTTTTTTTTACTGAGTTCCATTTTAAGTTTCACCTGCAATTTATTTTAAGTTACAAGTAAAATTCTATTCATAACACACTTAATGGCATCACTTTCTTTCATAGTTAATTACTACAAATGTATTAAATTATGTTAGATAGGAGGTATTTTAGAGAATTTAGAATTGATCACTGTCAAAACAGTTAATGTACCATCTTGCAGTTAAGCAGCATTTAGTTGCCAATTGAGATAGTTGACTTTTCTTCTAGCATATTATTTCACTCTCTAAAATTTGGCAACTCCTATATGGAGTATAATAAGCTAAATCAACTTCCTTTAATGGCTGGCCATAGATGAGTAGTAATTCAAAATGTGTGACCTCTGATGAGGTATAAATTTATATGCAACAGAAAATGAAACTGAATTTAGTAATGTGAAGAAGCTGTTAAAGAACTCTATGTGGAGTGTCATAGGTAAAGAAAAACCACACGTGACTGTTCAACGAATCAAAGAACATGAATAATTATTCTTCTTTACATTCCTGTACCTCAATACCTAAGAGCAGAAAAAAACACAAAACATATTTCTTTCCTGATGACATTTTCCTAAGGATAGAATTTGGGGAAGTTTGCATGGCATCTGTCTGGGGTTGACTGTCATGTTTCAATTCTAATATCTTGGTCACTGTTGGAAAATATTTTATTTACAAAATAAAATGATGCCTCCTAATGGTGACAAATATACACTAGTTGTTTCATTGCATCTTTTCTTGATGTACAGATGTACATGAAAGAGTGAGCCCTAGGCTAATCACTCTAGTTAGGACTTTAACAGTCATCTTAGTAAGTTGAAAATGGTTGCCTTCTTTATCTGGCAGTGAATCGTATATACACTGTATTTCCCTAGAGATTCTAAGAAAGCAAGTAGAGTTGACAATAGAGTCATGTCTTCATTGTTATTCATTGGCTGAATAGTATTAATAGATTCTTTTTATGCATCTTGATACTTTGAAGCTATGTCTTTTTTTGGTAAAGCAGTAATTAAAATGTTTATTTTGCATTTTATTTCTAGACAAATTTCAAATTGTGTTGACGGGAAATGGATTCATCTTGGGAAATCGGAATGCCAATGTTCTCTGTACTTACACTGTAAACGAAACATATGTAAAGAGTAAGTTCCCCATAATTCCAATGTTGCTTTAATGTCTACGCAGCATATCAGCATCAAGTGTTTCCCTCTTTTCCCTGACTTGAAATGAATTATGCTATATTTTTAATCAAAGAAGAAAGAAGTGAAGTCCAATGATAACATGAATAATAATAACTATTATTTATTATTTGATGATGGCAACATTTGTTCATAACTTAATAAATGCTGGACCATATCCTAACTAGCCTCATTGTCCAGATGATGGTTTTGTGACTGGAAGAGTCAAACAATTTGCCTGTGGTGACCCAGCTAATATTGGGCAGAGCTGAGAGTTGAACCCAGTTTTCAAGACCACATTCTGTATGGCTACATCAACTGCCTAATTTGATTGCCTCTTTTTCACATTTATTTCTTGTCACTCTTGCCTGAAAACCTTACTATCTTGGACTGCTATACTACTTACTGTCTTATTTTATTGCCACTTGTTTATTTATCTGATTTCCCAATAATTTTTCAGTCAGCTTCCTGAGACAAGCTTTTTGCCTTATAGATAGCTGATATCTCCAGTGAGTACCCAGCCCTGTATTTGCTGAAAATTATCATATTTATGGGATTAGGCTTTATTTTCCCTAGCTTTGCTTTCAAAAAAGCAGACGAATGTATTGTTTCTTATCTTCATTCTAAGAAAAACTTCCCCTCTTAAATGGATCTTAGAATTCTGAGAATTTGGGGTCTGCATTAAAGACATTTTTCCCTCACTGACTTCTAAATTTTAATCTATGTGGCAGATGCTCTAACTCTAGTAGAACAATTTTTTGAGAAATCACTTACAGTTTTGCTGTATTTATCTGAAGATACCAAACACTCCACTTAACACAGGTTTGGCTACATACACAGTAACTATTCAATATATGTTTGTTGAATTACAGTTGGGAGGATCTCAGCATGGTGTATGTCATAGTTATTTCCTTTCTTTCCTAATAAGATCATCATTTTGGTAAAACAAGACAATAATATTTGTAAAAAACTCTCTTCATAGTAGGTTCCACAATTGAAGAGGACAAAATAATTATTTTTTTTATTCAGTTGCCATGTGTATCTAAGAGTTAGCATTACCTAATTCCTTTTGATTACATATGTGAGTTGATTATAATATAAATATTTTATACTTAGCTATAAAAGATTGTTTATTGAAAATCCTCAAACAAATAGATGGAGTCAGATTATATTTCCATCATTATCTATTTTATTATGAAACTCTTCTGAATATGTCAAGATCATTTTTTTCACATACTATTAAAATTACAGGAGCAATTTAAGTGTTTGGTTTTATAAAATGTATTTATTGTAGACACAATTATTTTATTAAACTTGAAATAAATTCATTCTCTTTTGGACATTCTTTCCTCCATTGTTTTTAAATTATTTTAAAATATATAGTTTATCCTTAAAAATCTTAGATACTTGAAAAATGGAGGAAGAAAGGTGATAATTTTATAGTATCTACAAATGCCTGTGAACTTAATCTAAGTCCAAAAATCATGTTTATTTATCAAAAATTTACTAATACCATATATCAATGAGTCATATAGAGATTTTTCTTTCTCTTTTCCTTCTCCTCTTTTTTCAGATGACAGTCTTTGGTTTTTCATGCTAATATATCTAATGTTCCAAACTTTAACTCTTACTGCTGTGTGCTCTTTCTACTATTAATGAATCTATGTGAGATACAAAGCCCTTTATTGATTCAGTGGCATTTTATTTTCTAGGTGTAAACCCAGTAAGTGTGGAGATTAATTCTATGCTTTGTCCTGCACCTACCCTGAATAAAGCTGGAGAGTAAGTACTTGATTAAAAACATTTTAAAAATGTTTTAGCTACAAATTATTAGGAAATGGTGACAAATATACATTAGTTGTTTCATTGCATCTTTTCTTATGTACAGATATATATGAAACAGTGAGCCCTAGGCTAGTCACTACGGTTAGAACTTCAATGATAGTTAAGTGGAAAATAGTAAAGTTTTCTTTATCCTGTTCCTTAAATATTGATTAAAAGAGTCTATATCTGGATGGGTTTGAGAACTGTTGTTACACTCTTTAGATAATCAAAACCACAGTCATTATTTTGAACTTTAGAATATTGAATTTACACATATGCACATGTGTACACATACACATACATATATATATACACACATGCACAAGTTCCAAAGTGAAATTTTGACTAATTATCACAGTATTTAAATATTATGATTAGAGGGCAAAAGGAACATATCTCAGTGAGGCATGCTGTGGACTATGAAATATTTGTGCTTCAATTTGTGACCTAGTTCTGGTAAGGTCTATCTTTTCATGTTCTTTGGTATGATAATAAACCGTAATGTTAGCTGGCTAAAATAAGGGATATTTAGTTTGGAAGAAGAGCTTTTATTTGAATCACCTATATACAAATAATTTCACTAGTAATTTAGTATTTTCATTTGTGATTCTTTCTTTCTATCCTCTCTATTATGAAGAAAATGATTGCAAATAGTTCAGATGTTCTCTAGCTCAGCCGCAGTGGATACAATACGTTTAGGATAATGGACAGGATACAGTTTTACAAGATCATTTTATACCGATTTTGCACCTGTAGCAAAGGAAAATAAACTATACAAGGCCCCAGTCCCAAATCTGGACTAGTGTTAAGAGTGAAAACTATATTTTTCTCCACGGAAGTAGCTTGAAATTGACTTGAGCACTTAACTTCTGTGGATGCTGAGATTTGCAAGATATCTGTTAGATATCACTTCTGGTCATCTAAGTAAATTGGAGCAGTATCAGCTTTTTATTTTTAATTGATTGAAAGGAGCTGCATAATATAACATAAAAGCAAGATTATCGGAATCTGTTTTCTTTCTATAAAAACATGCTCATTTTCTGTAATGTAATAAGGTAGTGTCATTGGCAACATGCTTTTGACTAAATTAGGCTGGCCTTGGAATTTGAGGCAAGTCCATTTTGCATGGAGCATTATTAACCCCAAGGGCATAGTGGAACTTGGTGGCTTTCTGGGTAATCATGTCTTGTATTAGCCATGATAAAACTGTCGACTTGAAGCTTAGTCCTATTTCATTGAATCTATAATTCCACATTGATTCTCTTGATTGTTCCCCCTAATCTGCACCCTGATCTGTCTTTTCTATTTTAGTCACTGGCAACTCCATCATTTCTGTTGTTCAGTTCAAAAACCTTTGAGTCATTATTGATTTCTCTTAAATGCAGTCTATTGGCAAATCAGCTCTAATCCCAAAATATGTTCAAAATCCAGTCATACCCCACTACCTCCACTGATACCATCCTAGACCAAGCTACTGTCATCTCTTGTTTGGTTTACTAGGTTCTCAACTGGCTTTTGTGCTTTTGTCCTTGACAGAAACAGTCCTGTTCAAACAGATTCGTCTATGTCCCCTCTCCTTGATAAAAATCCTTGATAATTGAGTTCTCCTTGTCCACCCAGAGTGAAATCTGATCATTATAATGTTCTACGAGGTTCTACAGGATCTGGCTCCTTACATTACATCTCAGTCTTCATCTCCCTTTTGCTCCTTCTGTTATGGCCCTGCTGGCCTCTTAACCATATCCTGCTCCTTAACCACATCAGCACACTCCCATGTCGGCCATGTATGCCCTGTACATCCCATGCCTGAATGAAATGCTCTTCCCTTGTGGCTCCCTCTCTCACCTTCTCCAAGTCTTGTCCAAATGCCACCTTCTCAGTAAGCCCTTCTGGCCACCCCATTTAATCAGTCTTCCCCCTCTCATCAGTTAGCACTCTCTCTTCACTTTAAATGGTTTTATTTTTTCTCTAAAGCATTTATTCATTTGTGTGTTTCATTTCTGCTAAGATGAGTTTTGTCTTATTTCTTGCTGTATCTTTAGCACCTAACACAATGCCTGACACATAACAGATTAGATAAATGTGTGTTAGATGAAAGGATGAATACATTTTTCTCAAAATTTTGATTTACTAGTTATATGAAAAGCTAAAAAAGTGCATTTGATTGCTGGGGGCAGGGGTCTATATCAGGAGAAAAATAATCAGAATCCTATTTTGGGGGTGTGTGTGCCATTTAAGAGTGCAGAGCACCACCTTATCTTTTTAAATGTAGTAGTTAGTTAAAGAAGACAGCTTACTTTCTTCAACACAGTTGTTATAAAATGTAATATGCCTGTTCTGTCTCAGGCACTGAACTGTTTTCTCTAGAATTTGCCTTTGTGCCTGGTCTTCTTGTAAGTCTACCATAGAGACTGCTGATATTCTTTAGTGATTTGTAGACTGGCTAAATACTCAGGAGATACGATTTTAAAAAATCATGTAAAGAATAATAAAAATTGGACACACAAGAAATCATTTGTTTGGTTTTTGATGTTCATATTTATTTACAAGTAAACTGGGAAATTTGGGGGGAGATCTGTCTAAAATACTTACTTTTGCCTCCCCCCTGTTTTTGGTATTGAGTACATGATATTACTGAGGCAAAGCTGGACAAGATTTTATTTTGTTAATGTACTGAGTATTTAAGACATTTGTTCTACTAAGTATGTTGCAAGTAATTTGGACCTTTCCTGTGCCTTGAATTTTCTTCAGATACTTTTGAAGGTGATGAGCTCTTATGAGATTGGATTAAAATCAACACAGCTGAAACAGTTTAGCCTTGTAAGGTGGCCGATGCTTAATATGTTTGCTTAATTAGCTTCTGGCTACAGATTCAAACCCATTAAGTAGCTAGTTAGATTATGTTTCAAATAAACACATCTGGCCTAACAACGAATGAAGGTTTTTCCTGTGTCAGGGTGACAGATGTGGTGATGGTTCCCCCTGTTCTCTCAGTTAAATAATTAACAACACGCTGGTGAAGTAACCCTGGACAGACAGCCTCAAAGCCAGATGCAGAGTCTCAGAGCTGGATCCATGGACATGTGCCTCATCTCATTAGCCTGTTCTGTTTGTTCCTTTCTCATCTTTATGTTACTTCCGGAATTACATTTGTTTGAGGATTATTCTTTTAAAAATCTAGAGTTGTGAATTTTGATTTGAAAGAGGGTTAACATGAAGATGTTTACTTTGAGATGGGAACTAAGAATGTAGCAGAACCACTAGGGCCTAGGTTTGGATTTAGAAATTAATGTCATGTAGTAAACAAAAGTTGAAATATCTGGCCAAATCTTCTCCAGGTACATTACTGTTTTGCATGGTTGGAATGGGTCTTTGATGTATTTTGTTTGAGAGAGCTCTACGTACTACATCTGTTTGATACAGATTTTTAGACTAAGATGAATAAATACTTAGTTTGTAAACAGACTGTTAAGGTGTCAGTAGTTAGGCTGTTTTTTTTCTATTTCTTTCACTGGATACAAGTTAGTTTTAAAATGTCATATGATTACTGATTTGCTTACCAGGAAAAATCTATAGATTGTTTGGGAGTTTATTTCTGCCAATGGTTCGTTTGTACCAAAATCTTAAATTTGAGTAGGAAGGACTCTGAAGTTATTTGAATCCTCTCCAAGGAGATTGCCTCCTAGTATAGTATGTCGGTGTCGCCAGTACTTTCAGTGTTCAAAGTGTCACCAGGCTTCTTCCCTGACCTTGGTTTCATGTGACATCAACAATAGCACAGCTGCTCTGCAATAGTTGAAATCTCAAACCTGTAATTTGGCAAGAAGAGCAGAGTAAATTGGGCAAATATACATAAACACATTGTGAAGAAAGAAAAACAGAACAGAATGAACCAGAGCCTTAATTCTACAGCTTGTTTGATAGAGATGATTTAAGGAGGCATATGGTATAGTTAAATGTGCTTTCAAAAACATTGGCTAGAATCTTTAGGCAAATATGAAATAAATATCTAAATCAGATGAAACCGATAGTATTAAATCTCTTAAAAGGCAGTGTGGGAAGACGCTTGACAGTGTTCTGAGTATGAAGTAGAAGTACATCAGTGTATGCCGAAATTTTTAATGTTTGATACTGAAGGCTCACTGAGGTGAATGGTGTGGCAGACATGCAGTGGGAGCCTAACTTAGTAATAGAATCTTTTTATTTTCATCAACATTATTTTTGCAATATAACCCATTTTGTCTGGGATGAAATTAATTAATTCCATTTATCTCTCTTGGTTGCACAAATTCTGCCTTTACAGTTTCTCACACTAATACTTCTTTTCAAAACACATCTATATATGGATGTGTGTGTATAGCTATACAATCTCCAACTCCATATCTTAGTAGCAGGTGATACAACCAAAACTTTATTCTTTGTTCTGCTCCTTATGAAGAATGAGACTTAATTTATTCTGTTCTTTATCATAGATAGTAGGACATTAGTTATGTCTTAATTTTCAATGTAAACATTAGAATCTTGGTGAGCTAGGTTAAGGCTGAAGACCTCTATTTCATTACACCCTGTGTCCCACTCCAGTAGTGGAACATGGAACTGTACTTTCATATTGTGTATTGCTTTCTGATTATACTTATAAATCTGATAAATTCACCTAATCTGTATTGTATCTCCATCCTAAGTATTATTATTCAGTTCTGGAAATTATCTTTAAGAGAACCAGCACTTAATTTGAGTACATCTAGGGTGAGGCCAACAAGATGTTGCCAAATATGGAAGTGCTAAATATGGTGCAATTTAAAATACAGAAAAAGATGTGATTCAGGTGTGACACATCAGCTGTATAGAAACATCAGGTCTATCATGCAAAGATAGATTTGACTTATTCTTTATTCTCCAAGGAAAGGAGAAGAAAAGAGGAAGTAGGCACATTTCAATAGACAAAGCTCTTTCTAATA